GCCTTGACACGAGCAACTCGTCTGCGCGCTTTATTTTGTTCTTCATCTAGTTTTTGCATGTGTTAGCATCTTGGAATGTAGAAGTTCCTATGGACCGAGGTACTCACATGCAGAGGCCGCACCAACGCAGTTCTGGCTCTGCAGGCAGTGTCGTCTGACGATTCGGCAGCCATTGCACGCTGCCTTGCAGATGCTCTGCCGTCCCAGGCACTGGGCCAGATTCAGTTTATGTCAGTTGACAATCCATCCTTCAAGTACTTGCAAGAGGTCAAGGTCACTTGTCCTGATTTACAAGTCATGGCCTTGGATCCTGTCCATCTAGCTATGACTGTGGAGTATGCTTCTAGTCGTAGAAGGACAGCGCTTTCCAAAGCCTTGCGGCAGATTCTACGAAAGCTGACCGCCCACAGCAGCAGACTCAAGCCGGGCAGACGTGCGCCTCTCTTACAAGAGAGGAGGAACGGTTGCGTGCGCAGATCGAAGATCGAAGCATGCGTCCGCGTGAGGCCCAGTCTGTGCTCGACAACCTCGAGCCAGACGTGCCTTTCTTTTTGCGCACGGACTGGATTCGAGCCTTAGCGGCTCTCACTTCTGTCTATCGCACAGAAGTAGATCGCGTAGCTCCCGGCCCTAACCGCAAAGTGTTCCAGCTGCTTCACTCTGCCGCAGCTGCTGGCAGATCGGAATGGTATTTCAACAACTTAAGAATGCGACACCTCCTCGAGCCTTCCCGACTGTCTTTGCTCCCAATAGGGGACCACTTCAAACGAAGCTTTGCACCACGAAATCAATAACTGGTTTCGTGAGACGCAAAAAATTCACAAAGCTACACTGTGTTTGAAGTTATTTATTATGCATCTGGCAAAGCTCTTGTCACACAACACTGCTTTATATCGTCCAGCCACACGGCAAATGTCGGAGTGCGAGATTCTTTCTAGATGTTCTTGCCGTGTGCTCTGGACATTGCCCGAGTGGAAAGCCTTGGTGTCAAGAGCTCGGTGTCGAGGCTGTCCTTGTCGGCAAAGCCGATCTGAGCTTGCAGACGGCACGAGCGGAGCAGAGGTGTCTGGTCCAACAGCGGATGCTTAAGCGGCCAGCGGCGCCGTCGAGTCTTGGTTCCAAGCATCGCACACCTCACACCCTTGAACGGCAAGATTCTCTGCGTAGAGCCGGAAAGCGCACAAAGCAGCACGCGCCAGCGTAGACGCTTGTTACACAGGACATGTCAGCGGTGAGTGTGCTAGTCGCATTGTTCTCAGCTGTTAATTTTTTTGGCTGTTTCGAACGATTCAGTTCATGTGTGACAACGTCTACAGTCGTACAGAGAGCGTTGGATCCATGCATGCGAAGAGCTCCTCCGGTCTGTGTGTGTGTGTGTGTAAAAAAAGCTGCGACGCGAATTCCTTTGTATTGATGAGAGCTGACATCCATCTTAGTTCATGAGTTTGGACGCATACCTGCTTGGCACTGTAGCTGCTAGTGTTTCTTTCACTTGACTTCGTTGCTGATCGGGCACGTAATGCCGACGTGGTAGTTTGTCATCAAGCCGAGCGGATGGAAAGCCTTTTCACCTTCGACCTTCCTTGCCTTGTGCTTCACTTCCTGGTCTAATGCCTCGGTGAAGAATCGTGAAGGAAAAGCAGTCTTGCTGTAATGCAAGCATAGCCAACTGCTCTACTCTGCTCCAAGCCGCCGAGGTATCTAGGTTCGGCTGGTAGATCCTTCAGTACAGTGTTCTTTCTTGAGTCGACAAACCCGGAGCTTTGCAAACTTCTGGGGAAAGGCCAGTTTGGACGTGCTTCGAGGCCGTTGATGAGCGTCTTGTGCCTGGGCTTTTGAACCGAGCGTCTCGTTTTCGAGCAGGCCATGTTAATGTGACCATGATGTACCTCTTCGCACTGCTTTGGGAAAAGTCGTCTTGATTTGACCATGATCTGACTTGCTCGCATCGAGCGCGTCGTATTAGACAGCTGTGTTCCAACAAGACGTGCTGCGATTTAGCTATTACCTACATCATGTGTCGAGCTTGGCAGGCTTCGGCGTACATGAACCATTTGTTCTCGTTCATCCTGCCTTTTGGTTCAAGCTTCCAAAAAGGCAGATTTGATTGCCTACCACTCTTTCTTTGAGATGATCCCCGGTGGGGTAATCCTCTCTTTTGGGTGTGGCAGCGAGTGTGGACCCCGACTGCATCCGGTAGGGTGTCCGAGCTGCGGTAGGCTCTTGGCAATACCGGAGCCTAGACGGTTCGACCCTGGGTGTCCGGCAGAATGCCAGACCGGATGTGTTACCAGAGCACTTCCTGTGAGATGATGCACAGGTTCTACAGGAACCAGTGAGGTAATCCCCTGTTTTGGGTGTGGCAGCGAGTGTAGACCTCGACTGCATCCGGTAGGGTGTCCGAGCTGTGGTAGGCTCTTGGCCTTGGCAATACCGGAGCCTAGGGGGTTCGACCCTGGGTGTCCGGCAGAACGCCAGACCGGATGTGTTACCAAAGCACTTCCTGTGAGATGATGCACAGGTTCTACAGAAACCGGTGAGGTAACCCCCTGTTTTGCCTAGGGGGTTCGACCCTGGGTGTCCGGCAGAACGCCAGACCGGATGTGTTACCAAAGCACTTCCTGTGAGATGATGCACAGGTTCTACAGAAACCGGTGAGGTAATCCCCTGTTTTGCCTAGGGGGTTCGACCCTCGGTGTCCGGCAGAATGCCAGACCGGATGTGTTACCAAAGCACTTCCTGTGAGATGATGCACAGGTTCTACAGAAACCGAGGCGGAGCACTTCGAAAGGAAAGAGATGTGTGGAGCGACTTCAGTAGCCTAGTGATACGATAAACGAATGTATACACATTTTTAAAGTTTTTTTGAATCAGGCGAAGTGACAGTATATCCTACACTCCACCCCACCCCACCCCATTCCACTCCACCCCACCCCACCCCACCGCCACCCAACCCTACCCCTCCCTTCCCCACCCGACCTCACCCAGCCTCCAGCCTCTCCTTAACCCCGATACCTACATACGTAAGACGCACATATACATACGTGTATAATAGTACATAAAGGTCTTTCGTACATACGTGTATAGTGCTTAGATGTGGTTTCTTGTCCTGTTTGCTTTCTACCTACTGCTGATCACAAATCGCTGCCGCGCAGCGTTTGGCACGATGAGCCTTCCAGCCGCCTTTAACGGGCTGCGGCCCCCTCGGCGTTTGCAGCCGAACAAGCTGTTCGATGACGAAGAGGACTGAGTTTTGTGCCTGACCGGGCTTGGGCAAGTACCAATGCT